TCAAGACGCCTACTCAACAACAAAACATACAAAGCACGGAATAAAAACAGAAACAAAAAGAGTACATCTACACAAGAACAACCTATCTTCAACCCACACAAAATATAACATACTCAACAACAACGACAACAACAAACAACAACAATAACAACATAAACAGAAACAACAACATAAACAGAAACACACAACAAACAGAAACACAACAAACACTCCCAAAACACAGAATAACAACAACAACAACCTACACAGGCACAACCTATAACCTCAACCCCCACAAAGCACAACATACCCAAATCCGGGATAACCTCTGGGCATGCGCAGAGGAGGCGGAGGGAGGTGCTCTCTCTGTCACGCGATAATCAGCTGACAGAAGGGAAAAATATCTTTATCTCCCGTATCAGTACTCCACCTACACTGATTGACATTTTAATTTCCTCTCGTTGGAGTGAACTTTGAAGGATCTGCAGGACATTGAACGTTATGGAAGGAAGGGAAATATAACGCCATGGAAAGAGAGAGAGGATACTTGAGTATACTGAAGGAGACAGCTCATGTTAAGCTCTGTTTTTGAATGCAAGTCATTTGGTTTTGTTTGAGTTAGTTAGTGATAGTGATATGTTTTAATCGATACAGGTACAGGTATATATGACTGATTAACATTCGGATATTTATTGTCACGAATATTGTGAAATTTCTTTGTTTTATGTGTACTTTTTTATGTGATTGGTTCTTTTTACAGTATATTAATGCATTATCTTCAGAGTTATCCGGTAACAATAGTCTATTGTTTGTTAGTATTATCAGTTTTAACTCTTAGAATAATAGAGTTTGTTTTATTCAGTCTAGTGTTGAAGAAATATGTAAGTGGGACGACTGTATTTTAACTTGGATTTTGGCTTTTATTAGTGTAAGTAGTTATTGGGTCGTTATGTGTTGTTGATGACTAGTTTACCTGATGGTAATTATTGATTTAGCAGGATGTGATATGATGATATATCTTTGTTCCTAAACTGTACCTCTCTTTGTCTCATTCTTTCTCTCTGTCTCTTGTAGTTTTGTGCTCTCTATATTTCGCACTTCAGCAGAGTTGAATAAACCTCCGCTGTCTGTATTTTGGCAAGGGAGAGCTTGTCATCTTTTTTGAGAGTTTATGCGAGCTTTACCTTGTTGAATGTACATAAGGGAAGTTTGAGGACCTCTACCGTAATGCGAAATGTGGGGTTCTTGATATCGTTTCATGCGCTAACATTCTGAATTATTACTCAGACCTGTATAGAGACAGAGATGGGACGTAAGATATGCTTGAAAATTACTAACAATTCTTTCACTTAACATAAGTAAATTTTTTTAGATTAGTCTTTTAGAAATTACAGAACAAGGGAATTACTTTAAAAAAAATTACTGTATCTATATATTAACAAGAACATACATTACAGCAGATTTGTTACATTAGTAAAATTTCAGTATTTATCTCTTGAATGCGTAACAAAAATGCTTCAGAAGTTCCCTTGCTGCTATACATTGTTATTTGTTTACTTGTTTATCAGCATCATGTAGACACAGATTGTTTGATATTTAAATAGCATTTGAAGATTTGTGAATATAACCTTTGTTCATTGTATGACAAGACTTTAGCAGCCGGTTTGTTAAAACTGTGCGAGGACCAACCCAATAAATATTAATCTATTAGAAATAACATAGATATACAGGAGAAATAAATTCTATCAGTCTAGACAGTGGTCCCAATCTGTGGGCCTTATCCCCCTAGGGGTCCATAATCTGAGGATATGATGTGTGTATGAAACCAAATGAATTTTGTAGGTAGGCAACCAGTGGAGCCAACTTCTAGGTTCAATATGGGTTTGTGCGAGGCCGGTTGTGCAGATGCATGAGTTATACATCACTTTGTCTATGTAATTACTAATTACCCTTTTTTCTGATTATGTATTCTTGACATCAAGCAAAACATTGACACATTTTAGAGTAGTAATTAATATTTCAACGTGTTTTGTGTGTGTCTATTGTTGAAGCAACTTCCTGCAATATATCCATTTTTTTATTACAGTATACTCTGAGTATGGAAATTTCTTATGCACTATATTATTAAATTTCTTTAGTATCATTGCAAAAATGTCTTTATTACTACTTCACAAAAGAAAGATAACTTGCATGGAATCAATAACATTACAGGAATTGCTAGAGTGGTTTATATATGGACTTAATGAGTGTAGTATTGTAGTCAATCTAGTTATGGGATATGCCAAGTGGTGGGCCATGGGCAAGTATCCTGTTTGAAAAGTGGGTAATGACTAGAAAAAGTTTGGGAACCACTGGTCTAGACATGCATATCTATGGGGCAAATAGACAGATAAATGTATGATAGATAGATAGCCCTAGACAGATATACATTTATTTAAGTGAATAGGCATGTCTCTCACTCACTCACTCACTCACTCACTCACTCACTCACTCACTCACTCACTTCACTTCCACTCACTCACTCACTCACTCACTCACTCATCACTCCTCACTCACTCCACACTCACTCACTCTCTCTCTCACCACTCTCACTCTCTCTCACTCTCTCACTCTCTCTCTTCTCGTCTCTCTCATCTCATCTCTCTTCTCTCTCTCTCTCACTCTCTCTCTCTCCTCTCGTCTCTCTCTCTCTCTCTCTCTCTCTCTCTCTCAACTCTCTCACTCTCACTCACTCACTCTCTCTACTCTCTCACTCTCTCTACGCTTCACTCTCTACTCTCCCTCACTCTCTCACTCTCATCTCTCTCTCTCTTTCATCTCTCTCCTCTCTCTCGTCTCGTCTCTCACCTCTCTCTCTCTCTTCTCTCGTCACTCTCTCAACTCACTCACCACCTCACTCACTCACTCACGTCACTCACTCACTCTCCTCACTCACACCACTCACTCACTCACACACACTCACACCACACACACCACACACACACACACACACACACACCACACACACACACACACACACACACACACACACACACACACACACACACACACACACACCGTCTACTTCCACATCCTCATCATTTATCTTTCAGTCATGTTATCTCTTCTCACCTATCAGCCTTAGAAAGATAAAACACTAACATTCAGGATGCCCTTTCCAGACTCGTTTGATTTGTTGCAGTATATTGGTGCCGATGAGGAACTAACCCATGCATTAAGAACAACTGCCATGGCACTGCTTGGCACTTCCACTCCCAGCTGCGGCTCGGGAGATGAACGCACTCGCCTCCAACTGGACGAGGCTTGTCTGACAGTGGAGAATTTGGATGCCAAGACACAGTTACAGCTCTGGGCACAGGCAGAGGAATGCTACACGGTAAGGTTGTGCGATTATTAGCTTTTATTTGTCTGTTTTTGTATTGTTGAGAAGGTGTGGAACTAACAGAGATTACTTTCCTTTTGATATTGGGATATTATATGTTTGTATAAGTTGGAGAAATTTTTCTGTCTGAAGAATTTTGTCTAAAGATTTTTTTCAGACCTAGGTGATTTATCTTGCGGAATCTTTGTTTTTAAGAATGTGTTTTTGAGATTACTTTTTTTCCTTGTTGAATTGTTCTTGGTTATTTAATTGTGTGTTTTTTTTTTTATATAGTAAATTGATTTTGGCTACTTCTGCAGTGTCCACCATGGAAATACCTTACTCTCGATGCTAACAGCACGCAAGATCTGGTCGTAAACAGTACATACCCAACACAGCTTTATATTCGAACAGCAGATGGGACAGATGTGCACAGGTTAGTTGAATCTTAAACTTGAAATGTATTTTCGTGCTACTTAATTTCTATGTGAATATTTATTAATGAGAAAATCTTTTTACCAATGTAATATAATGAATTAATTTCTTTTATTTTTGAATTTTCAGTTCTACTTATCATTTTGGAGAATATGGAGGCTATAGGCTCGGATTTAGTACAAAATCTATTACCAGTATTAAGGTTCTATCTCTGCCACACAATGAATATCTTCGTAAGTATCAGATTATTTGCTCTATTTGTTTGTTGTGTGTTTCATTGACAACATTTTCAGACTTTTCAAAACTGATATTCATGTATAGTATCTATCTTGTAGAAAGATTTTTTTTAGCCAGTCTTCTTATTGGTATTCTTTTTATTCCTTTCTTCTTCTTTATGTATGAATTAGGTTTTTCTTCTTTCTCTTTTCCTTTTCCATATCCTTTTCCTCTTTTTCCTTCTTCTTATCCTCCTCCTCTTCCATCTTCTTCTTCTTCTTCTTCATCATCATTCTCTCCTCCTCCTCCTCCTCCTTCTTCTCCTCCTCCACCTCCTCCCCCCTCCCCTCCTCTCCCCTCCTCCTCCCCCTCCCCCTCCTCTCCCTCCCCCCCTCCCCCTCCCCTCCCCTCCTCCCCCCTCCCCTCTCCTCCTCCTCCTCCTCCTCCTCCTCCTCCTCCTCCTCCTCCTCCTCCTCTCCCTCCTCCCTCCTCCCTCCTCCTCCTCCTCCTCCTCCTTCCCTCTCCTCCTCCTCCTCCTCCTCCCTCTCCTCCTCCTCCTCTCCTCCCTCCTCCCCCTCCTCCCCTCCCTCTCCCCTCCTCCTCCCTCCCCTTTTTCTCAAAATTTTTGTTACTTAACAACTTCGGGCAATCACTTGAATATCCTTTCTTTGTGACAGCACTGCTCATTGCTACCATCTTCTTTGCGATGCTGGCCTTCATCTGGCAGTGTGGAAAGCTGCTTATGAGGCGAATGGACTCTTCTACTTATCCATTTGAGGTGATTAGATAAACTGTGGGTTCCTTCATTTTCCTAGGATTCATATGTACAATAGAAAATAATAGTTGTGTTACGTGTTTTCTTTCTTTTTTTCTCTCAATTCGAAGATGAACTATCACCCAAGAAACATTGTGAGAGTTGTACAAGAAGAATATACTTGACAAGTAGCTTTTTGGGTTATGTTTTTAACACATTTCACAAGATGACCTATGGTTGTACAGACAGGAAAGTAATGCATGAGATTTAAAGCATTTACTTAGGAAAGTATACTTTTTTATTTTTTAAACTTATTTTTTTATGGTCAGCTTTTGTATGCCCTGTATCTTGGAGTTTATAGGCAATAATTTTTTATGGTAATTAATTTTGAAAATTTTGATAATCAGCTTTCTCAGTACTAAATTATATTTAGTTGATGTTTTTGGCATTAATATGATCAAGATTTTACATCAATCATAGCTGTATTATCTTTATGTTGCAGCTTATTAGTAGTAACCCAGTGACTGTAGCACAGACCTCGAACATACAAAAGAACGTGTGCATCTGTATGATCAAGTAACGACAAAGCATTTTTTTTTAAATTATATATAATATATATTGCTCCTATGTGAAATGGAAGCCAATAGCAAAGTGCAGGAAAGTCAAAAGTAATTATAGGAGGAAAACAACTGCTCCATGTGGTAGGGCTAATAGACCTTCCCATCACTATTCTAAACTGTGCTTGATTGGTTAACCAGAAAAGCTATTTGTGAATTTATCAAGTTAAGTACTATTTTTTAAGAAAATAAGGCTTGTAATAACAAATTGATTTTATTGCTGGTTGATCAGTAATTTTGGTCCAGAACAGCTACTATGCATTTGTATAAATTTACAACCATATAGATAGATAACAGCCTAGATAACCTGTGTGTCTTAAATGTACTGCTTATTTATGCATTAGAAGGTATGTATCAGAATTAAAGAAATTCTTGTTCTCAGAATTGTAGTATCATCGTTATTATAATTTTCATCGTAACTTATTTTATTATCAGTGGTAATCACCATGGCTCATAATGTATGACTTACTTTAATTTATTCCATCTCCACACACTTTCCAGTCTTCCAGTGGGACAAGCGAGCGCTCTCCCCTCCTCTCACCTCGACAGGAATCTGCAGCGTCATCCTCGGCTTCTTACACCCTGTCTCCTCCCACAAACACCCAAGCATCAACCTCATCCGATGCTTCTCCCATCCTGTCATCAGCCTCTGTTGTTGTCCCAGACTCCCGCAGGGCTGGAGGCCGTTTGCTGTCACTGGACACATTTAGAGGGTACTGTGATGTCTGTTTTGGTGTTGTTTAGTAGGTATTATTTTCAGATTCAAAATGAATGAGAAAATGGTTTTGTTGAAGAATTATCTTGTTTATATGTCCCAATGTTAGTTTTTCAGGTATCATATTTTGTTCTAAGAATATCCTAATGACCTTTTTATCCCATTTTTATGTTGATTTGATTGGAGATAAGTGTTATCGCTGATCTCCTTTGGTAGGTCCAAGAATATGTCACATGTTTTTTTAATGTGTTTTTTGTATCTTAATTCAGCTTGTTTTTTTGAGGTTTATATTTTTATTATTTATCTATTTGTTGTTGGTCACATCAAAGATATAACAGGTAAGGAAACCCACCTTGATATTACTTGACGTTTAGCTTGTGATTTCTTAGTTTTGATTAGTTATGTTCCCATCTAATCACCAATATTAGATAGTATTTTAAGAAAAATTGTCTAAAGTAGGAATTTTTCATCACCATTGCTATAATTGTCTTCTTTTTTTTGGGGGGGGGGGCAAGATAATTTCATAAAAAGTCAGTCTCTAAGGTGTTCATTGATATTACTACAATTGAAATTATCTTTGGTGTTTTCATCAGACCCGGCTTTGAACAAGTTTGAATGTTAGCACTCATGCTGACCAGTGGATATCTTGTATATTGAAATAATGTATTTTTATTTATTTATTATATTTTTCATTCACATATATTTATATGTATATGTATTTTTTTTTTTTCTGCCAGAAGAGAGAACAATTTACCAGTGATGATATTTGATACCTGGAAGATATAATACATGTATGGTCTCATAATCATATGTATTGATAAAGTGTGCAATGTTTTTTGTACCAATTGGTTTCTTTATTATTTTTTTTATTTTCAGACTGGCAATTGTAGTTATGATATTTGTGAATTATGGTGGAGGAAAATACTATTTCTTCAAACATGCCCGTTGGAATGGCCTTACTGTTGCTGATTTGGTCTTCCCATGGTAAGGTTCAGATAGAAATTTGACTGTTACGACTCCCTCTTAAACTATATTAATTTCTAATGACCCCTAGTTGATGAGTATTAGATTCTTGTTGTTGTTAATCAATATTAGATTCAAACTTTAATGAAATGTCTAGGATGGCCTGTGTATATTTTTTATTCATGCTATTGATGTTTAGTGTCTAATCTGAAATTATATGTCAGTGCATTTGAATCAGATATTCTTAACATTTAGCACTGAGATGTCTTAGAAATTGTCATATAGGACCTGCTGAGATTGTATGCAATGATTTTCTCTATCTTTAGATGGCATAATTCCTTCATTTAGGATATGCATTTAGTGTGGCTAAACACTTCATGAATTATCTAGGGGAATAATAACTCCAGACTCTTGGGAAAAGTGGGGAGCAGATAGCCTTTTAGATATATATATATGAAAGAGATCGTAGAATTATCTGTGTCACTTGGCTTTTGAATGTTTTTAGATCATAGCTTCAGATATTTGGTGGAGTACCCAACCTCTCCTTGATCATTAAGCCTGGCAATAATAAACCTACTCATTTTATTTCATGATATTTCACATTCTCTTGATTAAGAATATGCAATCAAGTGTCTTCTCTTTCTCTCTCTTATTCACCATAGGTTCCTCTGGATTATGGGTGTCAGCCTTGTCTTCTCCGTGCGTTCGCAACTGAGACGCGCCACCAAGAGACATGTCATGGTGATGAGGATTCTGAAGAGATGCCTCATTCTCTTCGCTCTTGGCATTGTTGTCAACAGGTGAGAATTGAAAGCATGTAAAGCAGGAAAGTATGTGAGGATAATGTGGTTCAACTTCAGTTTTTTCGTTTGGGTTTATTTTCTTCTTAATTGACAAATTATTGGATGAAGTTTGCATCTAATTTGTTTGCATCTAATTTGTTTGCATTAATTATTACCTCTCTAAATCTTAAGAAAAAAAAAAGACTTTGCGTAGGAGGGATAGATGCCCAAGTAACGTATTCTAAAAAGATTTGCTCTTGCATTGTTTTTCAGTGATGGTCACAACTACTTGCCAACCTTCCGCATTCTTGGCGTGCTGCAGCGCTTTGCTATATGCTATTTTATTACTGCTGTTATGGAGGTGTATTTGATGGACCCACAGGAATCACCACAGGTATGAAAAAGATTTAGGGGAGAAAGTAAGATAAGGTGAAATATATGTATATATAGGGAGAGAGAGATATGGATATAGATATATGAAGACATTAGAAAATTGATTTAAAATTTTTGGTTTATTTGATAGCATTAGTCTGTTAACTTCATGCTCAATAAAAATAGGCTAATGAGTATGTTCATGTATTTATAATTTCAGTATGTTTGGTACTGGCCGGTGAGGGACTTGGTCAGATCTTGGCTTCAGTGGTTTTTAACTATTGTTCTTGTCGCAGTTCAGATAATCATCACCTTTAGCTTGAAAGTTCCTGGATGTCCCACGTAAGAAACTGTTTTCAAAAGTAATATGGAATAGCAGGAAAATTCACAATAAGGGAACCAAATCTCACTTTTCTAATAAACTTGGTTTGGTTGCTGTTATTTGGCTATCTTTCTTTCAACATGGTAGAATGTTTTTGCCATTCTAAAGACATTTAAAAAAGTGTGTTTTATACTCAGCATTCATGAAGTATGGGCTGTAATGTATATAAATTAAATAGATAAAGCATTCATGAAGTATGGGCTGTAATGTATATAAATTAAACAGATAAAAGCATATTTATTCAAACATCAATTTTACATGTTTCTTGCAGTGGCTATCTGGGTCCTGGGGGTCTGCATGAAGGAGGAAAATATGCAAACTGTACAGGTGGTGCTGCTGGTTATATAGACAGAATGGTGCTTGGAGTTGCTCATGTTTACCCCAGACCTACATGCCAAGTGATATACAGTGGTGACACCCCTTACGATCCTGAGGGCATTCTGGGAGCTCTTACTTCGGTGTTAATGGTAAGTGTGTTATTTCTGTGTCTTTTAAGGAGCTATGAAAGACTCTCATGACTAGACGTTATAGGTATTTGCATTTTGACCAAGTATTATTTATGTCTTGTCTTCAGAATTATATATATATATATATATATATATATATATTATATATATATATATATATATATATATATATATATATATATATATATATATATATATATATATTACTTCAGATGTAGTTAGTGACCTACTATTATTACACTTAGTGGCTCTTGGTATGTTTCTAATAAAATGTGAAAAGCATAGATTTTTAGTTTTTTTTTCAAAATAGTAGTAACATACAGACTGAACAGAAGAGAAGGAAGGGAAAAAAAAATAGTTATAGAATGATGAACTATTTTTCTTCACAGGTTCAGTTTGGTGTAGCAGCTGGCCGCATCATTGTAACTTATCAGGACCATAATTCTCGCATTAAGAGGTGGATTGTTTGGGGTGTTGTGACAGTAAGTTGTGATACTGTTGTTGTTTTATTTGTATGTTATTTCTCACTTTTGCAGCCAGACCATGAAATATTTTATTGTTGTATGTACTTTTCCTTTAATGTAATTTGATGATTGTGCAAAAATATTTAATGCAAAACTAGTTATGAAAATTTTGTGTATGGTAGAGGGTAACGTGAAGTGAAAGAATGGTAAACTGTTTTGATTACTTTTCTCGTAAAATGATATAATTAACATACACACTCCTTCCAGGGAATGTTAGCTGGATGTTTCTGCGGCTGGAGGAAAGAAGGGGGCCTCATTCCAGTGAATAAAAATCTTTGGTCTTTCTCATATGTCTTAACCACAGCTTGCTTTGCCTTCTTCCTTCTCTCATTCTTTTATGTTGTGATTGACAAATGGCAATGGTGGAGTGGAAACCCTCTCAGATATGCTGGTTAGTGGTTATCGATTTTGTTTGTGGTGATCGGTAGCTAGTCTTAAAATCGTTTACCCATGAAAGACTGAAGAAATCAGAAAATATCTGTAAAAAGAAAGAAACAAATTTAAAAATTAATGCAAAACATGATCAGTATCCGGAAACTTATCTCTTTACTACCTTTTCTCTCCCCAGGAATGAACTCGATCGTCCTTTACGTCGGGCATGAGATTTGTGGCTCGCTGCTCCCCTTCTCGTGGCAGCCAGTGGGCCAATACCACGTATATCACCTCATTATGAACCTTTGGGGAGCTAGTCTTTGGGTGTTTATTGCTTATTTCCTTCATCTGAAGAAGATTTATGTGTCTGTCTAAAGTGAAATGAAGAGGATGTTCTGAAGTTACTGCAGTTGTAACTAAGGTTTATATGTCAGTATTGAGTATACTGAAGGTTGAAAGTTACAGCTATTGTATCCAAGAAGGCATATCTATAAGTATAGAATATGCTGAAGAGAGTGGTTGAAAGTTACTGCTAAGTTACCATGTCTACGTTTGTTTTAAAACTGAGATCAATTTTTGATTACATGGATATTGGCCATAGTATATTTATATGAATATATATATTTTTGAATATTACTATTTCACCTGGACTATACTTTATTCTTTTATATTATTTACAAAAAGAAAGTTACCGTAGATTGTTAAGCATGCTTTTGAAATATATTTTGAAAATAGGAAAAGGTGCAGAAGTATACAGGCAAGAACTGTGTTTAACAGTGAGATTTTGCTTTTATGTAATCCTTAAGTTACATTCCCCTTGTTGTGATATTTGTGACAAATATCTTTGGTTATAGTTGGAATCAAGATTGTGGTAAGCTGTATGTTGATAACTGGTGATACTGTAGTTCCTTTACTTTGTTTATATATTTTATTATTCATTTATATATAATTTTTAAATTGTGTGATTTGATTATTCTTGTTCTTTGGAAGCTTTCAAAATCATTTCTTTCCAAGTGAAAATGATTTTTGATGTGGAACGAGGTACAGTAGTCTGTTGATGAACTGGTGATAGTAAACTAGACCACATTTATGGTGCTCCCTATATGATAAGACTTTCTCCTTTTGTACAATTGATTTTGCATGTTTATGATTGCAGTTGATGAGCACCTCTGATTTGCCACATTAAAGGTGAAAAGCTACAAAGAACAAGGTTGGCTCTCTCTCTCTCTCTCTCTCTCTCTCTCTCTCTCTCTCTCTCTCTCTCTCTCCTCTCTCTCTCTCTCTCTCTCTCTCTCTCTCTCCCCCTTTCCCTCTCCCCCCTCCCCTTCCCCCTCTCCCCCTCCTCCTCCCTCCCCTCCTCCCTCCTCCCTCCCTCCTCCCTCCCTCCTCCTCCTCGCTCCCTCCCTCGCTTTCTCCCTCCGTTCTTCTCCTCCTTATTTTTCCCTGTCTTCACCTTCACTTTTTCTCCATCTCCCTCTCCCACTTCTCCCCCTCCCCCTTCCCATTTTCTCACATTTTTACTACTTCTCCCATCTTTCTCTTTCTTCCCACCCCCCACCCCCATGTTCATATCCATGGGATATAATGAAAGAATATCATTTTAAGGACAGCTTATAAAAGAACTACCTCTCTCTGCTGGCTAGGACTTCATTCATGATAATCTAACAAAATCACGTTTTCTTTTTTCCCGTCAGTTACCATGAGATTTCTGTTTAATTTTAGTGCCATTAGCTTTATGACCGCTATCCAGTGCCATATTTTCTCCTTTTGGCTCTGATTGCATTGCATTGCTATGTTTTAAGCTCTCAGAACAATATTCAAACATAGAGTACAATGTCGGTGATTATGAATGCTGTGCCATTGCAAAGGAAATAATTAGATCTGAGCTTGTGCTGTTGTGCTGAAAGGTGCAATCTAGTTGCTTTATTACTGGGTTTAAGTTTATATTATTTCATTAGTTATTTTCTTGACTTTACAATTTAATTTGATGAGTTAGCTTACCAGAATTGATACTTTTCTGTGGATTTTTCAGCTGTTGTGGAGTGTGTGAAAATTCTTTACACATGAAGAAATTGGTTGACTAGTCATATTTTGCATGCACTATTAAAGTTTAGTGAAATGTGTTGGCGGCATATCATATTGGTATTGTTTTACTTTTGGACAAAAATGTCGTTAAGGAAAAAATATCTACACTATATGTGGGGTCAGCAGGTAGCTCTGTGAATTCTCTTCTTTGTAAAGAAATGTATATTTTTTATATGAACAGAGTATGGAATCACTGCTGCACACTCATACAATGTGCCGTGTCTATGATATTTAGCGAAGTTTTGGTCTGCATTTTTGTGATTGTTTGAAGGTGGTTATTTTTGACTGAATTCATCTGCGGTGTGCACTCTACAGGGTGGTCGGTATGTGTGAGTTCTCTTTAGGTTGTATAGTGATTGATATTGCATTTCCATACTTAATGCTACACAGAGTTTATTCTTTAAATAAAGTTTGAATTGTTTTTGTTTCTATTCTATATTTAGAAATGTGTGTTGCAGATGGGATATGAAATGATTTAAGTTCATGAATTCACTTTATTACTCAATTGTTTTGTTAAGAATAAGTTTGTGAATAATAAATGCTCAGATTTCTTCCAAACAGCAGCCAGTATTTTGTAGAGCAGTCTTTTTATAGACAATACTCTTTTTACAGTATGATAACTTTGAGTAAAATATATTGAGATTACATCGAGTTTTTCAATCCTCATGTATGTATTTTGAATATATTGATATTTAGTTGTTATATCTCTCTTCCATAAGCTTAATTTGCCAAAAAATAATAATTTACTGATACATTGACTTCTATTACTACTACTACTACTACTCCTGTTATTACTATTGTTACTACTACAATAACAAGAACAACATCAACAGCAACAACAAAAATATTAACAACACTGCTACTATACTTCTACTTCTTTCTTCTCCTTCTCCTTACCTTCTCCTTCTCCTCCTTCTCCCCTTCTCATTCTCATTCTCATTCTCATTCTTCTTCTTCTTCTTCTTCTTCTTCTTATACTGCTATTGCTATTGTTAATACAACTAATGCTGCTGCTAGTACTACTACTATTACTACTACTATGTCTATTTCAACTATAACTGATACTACCAATACTACTGCTACAACTATCATTACAACACTATGATTAATGTTGTTGCTGCTCCTGCTACTATTATTATTACAAATGTTACTATTATTACTCCTACTCCTACTTCTACTGCTACCACCACCACCTCCACCATTACTCCACCACCACCTTCACCTCCACCTCCACCTCCTCTCCTCCTCCTCCTCCTCCTCCTCCTCCTCCTCCTCCTCCATCATCATAATTATTACTCTCACCACTACTACTACCATTATCACCACCACCGATAATACAGAAAGATTGAAATAGTAACAATAACAACAACCATAAGAAAGATTTGATTGTATGTGCTAATTTATATGTTAATTTATGGATTCTAATTATGTCTAGGAGAAATATGGACAATGAAAAGATATAGTAGAAATTTGTGAGAAAATGGATTGTACTTGTAATTAACAGAGATAGAGGAAAATTACTTATGATAACGGAATAACAAAAGTAGAAAAATATTAAGGGTTATTAAGAAAGGGAATGAAAGATGTTAAAAATAAAGGACTGGAATATATTTTTACGGAAAAGGAATGGGACCTACATAGAGGAAAACAAATGATGGAAATAAAAGTAATTCTTATCTTTATACAATGACAAACGGTCTCAAAAATACACTACATTTTATTTGAATATGATAACAAAAGTAATAGAGCTAAGAAAAAATGAATAAAAAATATGTTGAATGATGACCAAAATGGATAAAAACAAGGGAATGGAAGAAGAGGGATAGGAAAGTTGAGAATCGAACGAAGAGGTAAGTGGGGAAGAAAGAAGAGAATGGTAGATGGAGCGAGCAAAAACTAGACACACGGGAAGGAAGGAGAGACGAAGAGAGAGATAAGGGGAGTGGTGTGAGAGGATAGAAGAAAGGAAATGAGAAGATTTAATATGTGGAGCGAAAAGAAGAGGGGATAATTAGAGAGAAAGAAACGAGGTGCAAAGAGAGAAAGAAACGAGGTGCAAAGAGAGAAAAAAAGGCGCTGAACAATGAAAAGAGAGGGGAAAGGGGATGGGAAGTGACGAAATGAGAAAAATGGGAATGAAAGAAAAAGAAACGAGAAAAGAGGGAAAGGAGAAGTGGTGGGGAACGACTAGAAGAGAGAGGGTGAACAAAGGCAAAGGAGCGTAGCAACGGGAAGATAAGAAAGAGGGGGCGGAGAGAGAGAAGGCAGGAAGGTCATGCTATCGCCTCCATCAACCGAAAGGGTCAGACGTCTAGCTCTCAGTAGGTCCCGGGCCGTCGCGGAGTGCAGACACCGTCGACCTTCTCCGTTGCACGAGGCTGCGTCACCTGTCGGAGTGCCACAGTGGAGCGGTTCGTGTCAATGGCACAGTCGGAAGCCCCATCTGCTACAGTGTCTACGTATTTACAGCTTTAGCATTAAAAGCACCGACTTCGAAGCCTGGCAGTGCCAACGGCAAGGCGGGAAAAGAACCAAAGAACCAGCGCCAGTGTTGGAATCACCGATGAAACACTTGACAGTGCATCAGCCTTCTTCTGCCTCTTCCAGTGCCGCCAGGAGCAAGCAAACCAGAACAAAGGAACTACAACAAACCGAAAAACAGAATTAATCAGAAACAAAAGAAAATACAGAGAGAGAAGAGAAAAACGGTTTTTCTTCTTTCTTCGCCAGAGTTCCGAGTACGGAGCGTCTCCTCCGATAAAAAAAAAGAAATTAAAATCCGTAAAACAAACCAAGAGAACGAAAGAGGGACAAAATTTCTAGTAAATGAGAAAGGTATAATTACTTCGCTGTCGCTCGCCAGGCATCAGGTAAGAGGACAAACTATGAAAAGAGTAAAGTAACAATAGCATTAAATATTCTCTTTTGTACTGAAGAATAACAATAAAGGGCATTTATATATCGTCGGAGGAATGTAATGGCAGAGAGAGAGAGAGAGAGAGAGAGAGAGAGAGATAGATAGAGAGAGAGAGAGAGAGAGAGAGAGAGAGAGAGAGACAGAGACAGAGACAGAGACAGAGAGACAGAGAGAGAGACAGAGACAGAGACAGAGACAGAGACAGAGACAGACAGACAGAGACAGACAGAGACAGAGAGAGAGGAGAGAGAGAGGAAAAAGAGAGAAAGAGAGAGAGAGAGAGAGAGAGAGAGAGAGAGACAGACAGACAGACAGAGGCAGAGACAGAGACAGAACGAGAGAGAGAAGAGAGAGAAAAAGAGAGAGAGCGAGCGAGAGAGCGAGACAGACAGCCAGAGACAGAAAACAGAGAGAGAGCGAGAGAGAGAAAAAGAGAGAGAGACAGAGACAGAGAGAGAAAAAGAGAGAAAGGGGGGGGGGGGTGAGAGGGTGATATATATATATATATTATATATATATATATATATATAGAGAGAGAGAGAGAGAGAGAGAGAGAGAGAGAGAGAGAGAGAGAGAGATAAAGAAGAAAGAAAGAAAGAAAGAGGGGGGAGATTGTAATATATATATATATATATATATAAA